CTGTTCTAGTTCTGTTCTAGTTCTGTTCTAGTTCTGTTCTAGTTCTGTTCTAGTTCTGTTCTAGTTCTGTTCTAGTTCTGTTCTAGTTCTGTTCTAGTTCTGTTCTAGTTCTGTTCTAGTTCTGTTCTAGTTCTGTTCTAGTTCTGTTCTAGTTCTGTTCTAGTTCTGTTCTAGTTCTGTTCTAGTTCTGTTGTAGTTCTGTTCTAGTTCTGTTCTAGTTCTGTTCTAGTTGTGTTCTAGTTGTGTTCTAGTTCTGTTCTAGTTCTGTTCTAGTTCTGTTCTAGTTCTGTTCTAGTTCCGTTCTAGTTCTGTTCTAGTTCTGTTCTAGTTCTGTTCTAGTTCTGTTCTAGTTCTGTTCTAGTTTCTGTTCTAGTTCTGTTCTAGTTCTGTTCTAGTTCTGTTCTAGTTCTGTTCTAGTTCTGTTCTAGTTCTGTTCTATTTCTGTTCTAGTTCTGTTCTACTTCTGTTCTAGTTCTAATCTAGCTCTGTACTAGTTCTGTTCTAGTTCTGTTCTAGTTCTGTTCTAGTTCTGTTCTGGTTCTGTTCTAGTTCTGTTCTGTTCTAGTTCTGTTCTAGTTCTGTTTTAGTTCTGTTTTAGTTCTGTTTTAGTTCTGTTCTAGTTCTGTTCTAATTCTGTTCTAGTTCTGTTCTAGTTCTGTTCTAGTTCTAGTTCTAGTTGTTCTAGTTCTGTAGTTCTGTTCTAGTTCTGTTCTAGTTCTGTTTCTAGTTCTGTTCTAGTTCTGTTCTAGTTCTGTTCTGTTCTAGTTCTGTTCTAGTTCTGTTCTAGTTCTGTTCTAGTTCTGTTCTAGTTCTGTTCTAGTTCTGTTCTAGTTCTGTTCTAGTTCTGTTCTAGTTCTGTTCTAGTTCTGTTCTAGTTTTGTTCTAGTTCTGTTCTAGTTCTGTTCTAGTTCTGTTCTAGTTCTGTTCTAGTTCTGTTCTAGTTCTGTTCTAGTTCTGTTCTAGTTCTGTTCTAATTCTGTTCTAGTTCTGTTCTAGTTCTGTTCTAGTTCTGTTCTAGTTCTGTTCTAGTTCTGTTCTAGTTCTGTTCTAGTTCTGTTCTAGTTCTGTTCTAGTTCTGTTCTAGTTCTGTTCTAGTTCTGTTCTAGTTCTGTTCTAGTTCTGTTCTAGTTCTGTTCTAGTTCTGTTCTAGTTCTGTTCTAGTTCTGTTGTAGTTCTGTTCTAGTTCTGTTCTAGTTCTGTTCTAGTTCTGTTCTAGTTCTGTTCTAGTTGTGTTCTAGTTGTGTTCTAGTTGTGTTCTAGTTCTGTTCTAGTTCTGTTCTAGTTCCGTTCTAGTTCTGTTCTAGTTCTGTTCTAGTTCTGTTCTAGTTCTGTTCTAGTTCTGTTCTAGTTCTGTTCTAGTTCTGTTCTAGTTCTGTTCTATTTCTGTTCTAGTTCTGTTCTAGTTCTAATCTAGCTCTGTACTAGTTCTGTTCTAGTTCTGTTCTAGTTCTGTTCTAGTTCTGTTCTAGTTCTGTTCTGGTTCTGTTCTAGTTCTGTTCTGTTCTAGTTCTGTTCTAGTTCTGTTTTAGTTCTGTTCTAGTTCTGTTCTAGTTCTGTTCTAATTCTGTTCTAGTTCTGTTCTAGTTCTGTTCTAGTTCTGTTCTAGTTCTGTTCTAGTTCTGTTCTAGTTCTGTTCTAGTTCTGTTCTAGTTCTGTTCTAGTTCTGTTCTAGTTCTGTTCTAGTTCTGTTTTAGTTCTGTTCTAGTTCTGTTCTAGTTCTCTTCTAGCTCTGTTCTAGTTCTGTTCTAGTTCTGTTCTAGTTCTGTTCTAGTTCTGTTCTAGTTCTGTTTTAGTTCTGTTCTTGTTTGTTCTAGTTCTGTTCTAGTTCTGTTCTAGTTCTGTTCTAGTTCTGTTCTAGTTCTGTTCTAGTTCTGTTCTAGTTCTGTTCTAGTTCTGTTCTAGTTCTGTTCTAGTTCTGTTCTAGTTCTGTTCTAGTTCTGTTCTAGTTCTGTTCTAGTTCTGTCTAGTTCTGTTCTAGTTCTGTTCTAGTTCTGTTCTAGTTCTGTTCTAGTTCTGTTCTAGTTCTGTTCTTGTTCTAGTTCTGTTCTGTTCTAGTTCTGTTCTAGTTCTGTTCTAGTTCTGTTCTAGTTCTGTTCTAGTTCTGTTCTAGTTCTGTTCTAGTTCTGTTCTAGTTCTGTTCTAGTTCTGTTCTAGTTCTGTTCTAGTTCTGTTCTAGTTCTGTTCTAGTTCTGTTCTAGTTCTGTTCTAGTTCTGTTCTAGTTCTGTTCTAGTTCTAGTTCTGTTCTAGTTCTGTTCTAGTTCTGTTCTAGTTCTGTTCTAGTTCTGTTCTAGTTCTGTTCTAGTTCTGTTCTAGTTCTGTTTTAGTTCTGTTTTAGTTTCTGTTCTAGTTCTCTTCTAGCTCTGTTCTAGCTCTGTTCTAGTTCTGTTCTAGTTCTGTTCTAGTTCTGTTCTAGTTCTGTTCTAGTTCTGTTCTAGTTCTGTTCTAGTTCTGTTCTAGTTCTGTTCTAGTTCTGTTCTAGTTCTGTTCTAGTTCTGTTCTAGTTCTGTTCTAGTTCTGTTCTAGTTCTGTTCTAGTTCTGTTCTAGTTCTGTTCTAGTTCTGTTCTTGTTCTGTTCTAGTTCTGTTCTAGTTCTTTTCTAGTTCTGTTCTAGTTCTGTTCTAGTTCTGTTCTAGTTCTGTTCTAGTTCTGTTCTAGTTCTGTTCTAGTTCTGTTCTAGTTCTGTTCTAGTTCTGTTCTAATTCTGTTCTAGTCCTGTTCTAGTTCTGTTTAGGTTCGGTTGTAGTTCTGTTTACTTCATTCTACATCCGATCCTAGGTTTCTTTTAATTCATATTTCTTTTAGTTTCAAATTTCTTTTATTTCTGTTGTGGTTCATTGCTTTTTAAGTTAAATTTTTTTTCGAAAAGTAAAGCCGTTATTTAGTAGTGTATTTAAACATTTAAACCGCAACATTGTTGTTAATTTTTAACAAAAAAAAAACTGCGGTTTTGTAAGCTTAAAAAATTATTACAAAATCAGTTAGAACAAAATGATGTCATTTCTTTTGTTTTCTTTTTGCTGTTACAACAATGTGCAAGACTTTTCTAAACAAGTTAATGTGAGAGCGAAAAAAAAGCCTAAAGAGGCAACACTTGTCTGACCTTTAAAGGGTCATTTAAGGTTACATGTAGAGCGGAGTGACAGCAATGATGTTTTTAAGTAAAATTTTATTTAAATTCCTAGAGAATTGTTCAGGAAAATGTGCATTTTTTATAAATTATTATTGTTTATTGTGTGTATACACCTTGTCTTACTCTAAACGTTTTTCTTTGGAAATGTTTAGATTTTTATCTAGAGTTTTTCTTTTGTTTGGCAAACTTTCTCGTTGTAATATTTTCTTTAAGTTTATTACTTTTTACCCTTAGGCTGACATTGTATATGCAATTTTTTCTTCTTTTTTTTGTGCTTTTTATAGAATAAATAATAGAGTTCTTTAAACAATATTGTTTTTTTTTTTAACAATATTTCTTGTATTTTATTATAATATATAATTTTTGTGTTTAGTAAAGCATAAAATAGTTTATGCTTGAGTTCATGATCCAAGTAATTAGAGAGATTTTTGTTCAGGCCTTCTTCTTTGTTATTGGAATTAGAATAGTGATTTAAATAATGATTTGTTAATGCAAAAAATAAAGGAAATGGTAGAAAAATCTTGAGCAACATTGTTTTAGCACAAAACAAAAGATTTCTACACAAAGAACTGCATATTTTGTTTAAGCTAAGGTCATTTTTAAACGAGTACCCGCTTAAATTTTCCTGAATTTATAACTTTTTCAACAAAATTTTTCTTTGAAATGTAATTAATTTCCAGTAGAATAACATTCCCCTACTTTTTTTCAAAATTTTCTTGAAATTCAAGAAAAGTAACCGGTTACCAAATTTATGGTTACTTTTCAAAAACCTTATAACTTTAATCGTAATATAAATATAATTATAAATGGTTCAAGAATTTTACATTTTGAGCCATTTTCAACCGAGTAACCGCTTAATTTTCCCTTAATTTATAAATTTTTTAACAAAATTTTTCTTTAAAATATAATTACTTTTTAGTAGAAATACATTCCCCTACTTTTTTCAAAATTTTCTTGAAATTAAAGAAAAGTAACCGGTTACCACATTAATCGTTACTTAACAAAAACCTTATAATTTTAATCGCAATACAAAAATAATTATAATTTTTTAATAAATTTAAAATTTTAAGCCATTTTCAACCGAGTAACCGCTTAGTTTTCCCTTAATTAATAAATTTTTTAACAACATTTTTCTTTAAATTATAATAAATTTCAAGTAGAATAACATTCCCCTACATTTTTCCATGATTTTCTTAACATTAAAGAAAAGTAACCGGTTACCAAATTAATGGTAACTTAACAAAAACCTTATAATTTTAATCTCAATACAAAAATAATTATAAATGGTTAAAGAATTTTACATTTTGAGCCATTTTGAACCGAGTAACCGCTTAATTTTCCCTTAATTTATAAATTTTTTGACCAAATTTTTCTTTAAAATATAATAAATTTCAAGTAGAATAACATTCCCCTACATTTTTCAAGATTTTCTTAAAATCAAATAAAAGTAACCGGTTACCAAATTTATGGTTACTTAACAAAAACCTTATAGTTTTAATCTTAATACAAAAATAATTATAATTTTTTTACAAATTTCAAATTTTAAGATATTTTGAACCGAGTAACCGCTTAGTTTTCCCTTAATTAATAAATTTTTTAACAAAATTTTTCTTTAAAATAAAATAAATTTTAACTAAAATAACCTTCCAATACTTTTTTCTAAGATTTTCTTAAATTTAAGGAAAAGTAACGGGTTTTTCAATAACTGGTTACTTTCCAAAAAGTTTATATGTTTAATCCCAAATCGAAAATAAATACAAATTTAAAAAAAATCATATTTTCAGCAATTTTTTTTAACGGTTACTCGGTTAACCGCTCAATTTTCTATACATCTTGACTAATCCCCTTATTTCTCTTTCTCTCTTACAGATGCGACTCATTTCTCTACCACACAACAGCGTCGCCATGCGGCCTCTCAGCTCTAGTATTATCATAGCTTTATGCTCTCTTGTCATTCTCCTGCCCTCGTCAGTCTCCGGCCGCATGGCTTTCGAGAAACTAACAGATTTCGACTTTGCCGGCACCACTTATTACAGTGTAAAGAATCTCTCTTTATACGAGTGTCAGGGCTGGTGTCGCGAAGAGGCCGATTGTCAAGCAGCCGCCTTTAGTTTTGTAGTCAATCCTTTGTCGCCCTCGCAGGAGACCCACTGTCAACTGCAGAATGATTCGTCGGCTCATAATCCCTCGGCAGCGCCTCAGCGTTCGGCCAATATGTATTACATGGTGAAGCTGCAATTGCGCAGTGAGAATGTTTGCCATCGACCCTGGTCCTTTGAGCGTGTGCCCAATAAGGTTATACGTGGTAATGATAATGCTCTCATCTATACCAGCACTAAGGAAGCTTGTCTCTCGGCCTGTCTTAATGAAAAGAGATTCGTGTGTCGTTCGGTGGAATACGATTACAACAGCATGAAATGTGTGCTCTCCGATACCGATAGACGTTCTGGCGGCCAGTTTGTTCAGCTAGTAGATGCCCAGGGTACCGATTACTTTGAAAATCTCTGCCTCAAGCCCCAGCAAGCCTGTAAAACTACTCGTACCTTTGCCAATGCTCGAGTAGGAGTCTCTGAGGAAAAGGTCGCCCAATATGTAGGACTCCACTATTACACCGATAAGGAACTACAAGTTACCTCTGAATCCGCCTGCCGCTTGGCCTGTGAAATCGAATCTGAATTCTTGTGCCGTTCCTTCTTGTATTTGGGTCAACCTCAGGGAGCTCAATATAACTGCCGTCTATATCATTTGGATCATAAGACCCTGCCCGATGGTCCCTCCACTTATTTGAATCATGAACGTCCCCTTATCGATCATGGCGAACCTATTGGTCAATATTTTGAAAATGTTTGCGATAAGTCAGGTGCTACTACTAACTCAGCTGTAGGTGGTCCAGTGGGAGGTCCTTCATCTCTGGATAAATTAGATACTTTGCCCATTACTTTTGATACGACCGAGGATCCTAACTTGAATATTACACGTAATGATGTGAATTGCGATAAGACTGGTACCTGTTATGATGGTAAGTATTGAAAGGAGCTATAAAAGCTTTCAGCAAAAAAAGCTTTTAATATTTAAATCACTAAAAAGATTAATTAGTGGACAAAATTAAAGCTTTTTATAAAGAAAACTATTCACACCAAAAGCTTTAACTTGAAAAGCTTTAAAAATATAGAAAGCTTTGAAAAAAGCTTTTAAAAATCTAAAGCTCTAACTTATAAAAACGTTTCTTGTGTTAATTTATTACAGAAAAATACTTGTAACTCAAAGCTTTTTAAAATGTATTAAAAAAATTAAAGCTTTCTTCTAAAGCCTTAAAGCTATATTAAGATGATATTTGATCGAAATTTATTTTAGAATAAAATTTTGGATGGTATTTATATGAATTTTATGCAAATTTTGAAACTTTTTATAAGAAAACTTAAAAGCTTTTCGAAAGCTTCAAAATTTTTTTCTCGAAAATTGTATAAAATCCAATTAAAACATAATTTTAAACATTTGTGATATATTTTGAAACAATTAAAAAAAGCTTTTAGAGCTTAAAGCTTTCTTTAAAACTAATGTTCCATATAAGTAAAATTTATTCCTATATTAGGAATTTTGAGAGATTTAACTATAATTTGACAAAAATTTTTGAATTTTTGTATTTAAAAATAAAAGCTCTTTAAAAGCTTTAAATTAATTTTACCGAAATTTTATATAGAATTTAAAGAATAAGCCAAATTTATTTTAAAATTAAGATTTTTATAGATTGAACTTTAATTCGACAGAATTTTATGAATTTTTGTATTTAATAGTAAAAGCTCTTTGAAAGCTTTTAGATTTTTTTACCAAAATTGTATATAGAATTCAATGAAAATTTAAATTTTATGATTTCATAACTTTTTTGTTTTATTTTAAAACAATTTCACACACTTTTAACGAAAAAGCTTTAAGCATTTTTCAAATTTATGCTGCATATAAGTAAAAATTATTCTAAAATTAAGACTTCTGATAGATCTAACTTTAATTTGAGAGAATTTTTATGAAATTTTGTGATAGAAAACAAAAGCTCTTTGAAAGCTTTTACATTTTTTTACCAAAATCTAATAAAGTATTCAGTTAAGCTTTTGTTTTTATAATGTTAAAGCTTTTTGTTATGTTTTAACATGATTTGGAACACTTATTATAAAAAAGTTTTCAGAGCTTTAAGCTTTATTTTTCATTTTATGTTATATCTAAGTAAAAAGTTTCGCCAAACATTTTTAGTAACTTTAAAATGTTTTCTACGACATTTTTCAAAAAAAAAGCTTTTAAAGCTTAAAGCTTTTATTAAACTTTTGAAGAACAAACTACCAAAATGATCAAATATCATGATAATTAACTCGAAATTAGTGAAAGATCTTTAGATCTAAAAAAAAGCTTTTTAGGGAACTTAAAGCTTTCTCAAGCTTTGGATCAAATTTTGTAAGAATTAAAGACAACCGTGCTTTTTCTTATTTCAGTTTCCGTCCACTGCAAGGACACCCGCATTGCTGTACAGGTACGCACCAACAAACCCTTCAATGGCCGCATTTACGCTTTGGGTCGTTCGGAAACCTGTAACATTGATGTCATCAACTCCGATTCCTTCCGTTTGGATTTGACTATGGCTGGCCAGGATTGTAATACACAAAGTGTGGTAAGTTGGAGAAATATTAAAAGCTTTTTTCAGCAGCTTTTTTAATGTTTTAACTTTTCCCTCTTCCAGACCGGTGTCTACTCCAATACCGTGGTATTGCAACATCACAGCGTTGTCATGACCAAGGCCGATAAAATCTACAAAGTCAAGTGTACCTACGATATGAGCTCTAAGAACATTACCTTCGGCATGATGCCCATACGTGATCCTGAAATGATTCACATCAACTCCTCACCTGAAGCTCCTCCACCAAGAATTCGCATTTTGGATACACGTCAACGTGAAGTTGAGACTGTGCGCATTGGTGATCGTTTGAACTTCCGCATTGAAATTCCTGAAGATAGTAAGTTTTTTGATTGTTAGAAAAAAAGATTTTCTTTATTAAGATTTCTCTTTTTTTAAAGCTCCCTATGGCATTTTTGCTCGTTCTTGTGTAGCCATGGCCAAGGATGCTCGCACCAGTTTCAAAATTATCGATGATGATGGTTGTCCCACCGATCCCACCATTTTCCCTGGTTTCACCGCCGATGGCAATGCTTTACAATCGACCTATGAAGCTTTCCGTTTTACCGAAAGCTATGGCGTAATCTTCCAATGTAATGTTAAATACTGTTTGGGTCCTTGTGAGCCTGCTGTGTGTGAATGGAATATGGAATCGTTTGAATCTTTGGGTAGAAGACGTCGTCGTTCGGTGGAAAGGTAAGTATTTTAAGAAAAAAGCTTTAAAGTTCTTAAATGTTCAATTTGTTTAATTTTCACAATAAAGCAATGAAACCAAGGAAGCCGATGAGGATATGAATATTTCTCAAGAGATTTTGGTTTTGGACTTTGGTGATGAGAAACGTGAATTCTTCAAATCAGATCCTAGCACAGATTTTGCTAAAGGTAAGTTGGAGGAAAACTGAAAAAGCTTTTCAAAAGCTTTGGTATGCTTAAAAATTACAAAAAATATCATAACATCATTGAACTAGTTTAAGTTACGTCCAAAGAAAATGTGTAAAACAAAAATAACAAATTTAGAAAAAAGTAGCATTTCTACTACCTTTTTTAAAAAGGTAGTATTTTAACTACTTTTTTAAATTTTTTAAAATTATTAAATTTTTAAACAAAAAACGTTATTTAAACAATTTAAATTACTTTTTAAGCATGTTCTATAAATTTGTAAAAAAGTAATATTTTAGTACTTTTTTCAAAATATTAGTTTTTTGAGTTTTGAAAGCTTAAAATATTCAAAAACGTTTTATTAAGTGTTAAATATGTTGTTAAAATACTTATTTTCATGTTTTCTGCACTTTTGAAAATAGTAGTATTTTTACTACTTTTCGTAAAATGTAAAAAGTTCTGATTTTTGTTAAAGAAAATGTTTTTTGGTTAATTGGCAATACTTTTGAGGTAATTTTTTGGGCTTGAAAATTAGTACTTTTTTTAAAAATAGTACTCTTTTAAGTTTTTAAGTTAGAAAATGTTACAAAACGTTTTTATAGTGCTAAAAATATAATTAAAGTAATTTTTTCATGGTTTCTGCACTTTTGAAAATAGTAGTATTTTTACTACTTTTTTTAAAATGTTTAAAAATTATGATTTTTGTTACTGAAAATATTTCTTGGTTAACTGGCAATACTTTTAAAGTAATTTTGTGCCCTTAAAAAATAGTACTTTTTTAATACATTTTTAAAAATAGTATTTTTTTAAAATTTGAAGTTTAAAAATGCTGCAAAACTTTTTCTTAAGTGTTAAGAATGTTAATAAAGTAATTTTTTCATGTTTTCTGCACTTTTGAAAATAGTAGTATTTCTACTACTTTTTTTTAAAATGTTGAAAAAATGTAATTTTTGTTATAGAAATTGTTTCTGGGTTAAACAGCAATTGTTTTCTCGTTTAAAAAAAAGTAGTATTTCTACTACTTTTTTGCAAAAATCTTTTGAAATGTGTTAAAATCATTATTTTTTTTCTTTCTTTTTTTCTAATATTTTAGATAAGACTGTCACCATTATTGAACCCTGCCCCACTAAGACCTCTGTCTTGGCTTTGGCTGTCACCTGTGCTTTGATGATTCTCTTGTACATTTCCACCTTGTTTGTGTACTATATGAAAAAATGGATGCAACCCCATAAAATTGTAGCATAAGTATTTTATTTAGTTTAAAACACACACACATATACACTTACATTTTAACAAACAAAACAATATTAGTTAACTAACTATTACTTCTAACTAACTATTACACTATTTAACAAGATAAAAGCTTAACAAAAAAAGGACAATAGATTTTAAGCTTTTTTTGCCAGGCAAATTTTGAAGAGTAAATGAGGAAAGGCAATCGATAAATTTAATTAAATTTTAAGTTATTTTTAAAAAAATAGATTAAACTATTTTTAACTTAAAACAATTTATTAAAAACTTAAGCCTTAAACGAACACAGAAAATAGAAAGCTTTTAAGCTTTTTTTAGGGGTTATAAAGCTTTTTGGTCTAATAGGTTTCTAAAAGGTTTCAAAGTCATTTAAAAACTATAATTTCCTTTAAAAAAGCTTTAAAAGCTTTTTTTTTGAACAAGCACAAACTGGCTTTAACTATCACTTTTTAAACACACTTAAGCAATTAAAGCTTTTGGTCTATTTTTTATTAATAACAAATCACTTTCTATGAAGTTTTAATTTAAACTACAAAACTTTAACAAATTAAAATTATGTTAAAACTTCCATAGAGACTGATTTTCTTAAAAAAAAAAACAACTTACAAACTAAAGCTTTTCAGGCTTATGTATTAATTATTTCCTATTTTTTTTTAATAATTTATTTTTATAATTTATTACTTTACAAATACTTTACCCCTCCCCCCTTAACTTTAAACCACATTATAATTTATTTATTTAAAAAAAACATTGTGCTTAATTTTTATAAAATTTAAATTTCCTTTAATTTTAATTAACAATTCATAATTTTTAATAAATATAATAAAAAAAAAAACATTTTAGTATTTAAGTTCAACCAGAAAAAACTCCACATACACACTCCCCCTACACACACATTTACAACACAAATTATTTAAACAAATCAACAAGAAAAATTGATCAGCATTTATAGAAAAATTTCATTATTTTATAAGTTTACTAATTTTTTTTTAAATTAAATTTATAATTTAGTTTTGTAAATAAGTTAAAGACTCTTGTGCAAATAATAAAAAAATTACAAAAAAATTCTTAAGTATTTTTTTTAGTTTTTTTCTGGCTAAATTTAACTTTAATTATAAAATTACTTTTAATATTAATAAAATGCATTTAAAAACATTTTTTTTAAATAAAATTTAAACATAAAACTAAAAAATCAAAGAAGTTTTCTTAACAAATACACAAAAAAGTTAATAAAATGTCATCTATACACTTACAATTAAAATAAAATGAAGAAAAACCCAAAAAAATCGATTTTTGAAAAAAGTAGTATTTCTACTACTTTTTTAAAATTGGGCAAAAACACACTTTAAACAACAAATAAGACAGCAAAAATCATATTTTGGCAATCAAAATAACAAAAACTCTCAAATTTCGCCATTTTAAAAAGGTAGTATATCAACTACTTTTTTAAAAGTGACAAAAATCACTTATAAAATGTTTAAACCCCATAAGAATTTTGTTGTCCTAAAGAAAATCCAAAAATTTTGATTTTTTAAAAAAGTAGTATTTCTACTACTTTTTTTACAAACACACAGAAATCACTAAAAATACATTTTAAACAAGAAATAAGGCAACAAAGAACCTATATTTAAGATTAAATTAAATAAAACTCCAAATTACGCCATTTTAAAAAGGTAGTATTTCTACTACTTTTTTAAAAAGTTACTAAACTCTTTTAAAATGCTTTAGAACGAACAAAAGTATTATCAAAATTTTTAAAATTAGATTAAAATAACAAAAACTCCAAATTTGCACTTTATAAAAAAGTAGTATTTCTACTACTATTTTAAAAAGTTTCAAAAATCATTAAAAATACAGTTTAAACGTCCAATAAAACAATGAAACCCTTTTTATCAAGGTTAAAATAATAAAATCTGCAAAATTCTTGCATTTTAAAAAGGTAGTATTTCTACTACTTTTTTAAAATATCACAAAATATCGTTAAAATTTCATTTTCATTATAAAATATGTTAATTAAAACCATACAAATAAGATAATATTATGAAAAGCTCTAAAAATCCAACATTAAAAAAGTACTTTTTCTACTACTTTGTTAAAAATTATCAAAATCGTTAAAAATACGTTTTAACCAACAAATATGTCAGCAAAAAGCCTATTAATGCACTCAAAATGACAAGAACTCTCAAATTCTCACACTTTGAAAAGGTAGTATATTTACTACTTTTTTTAAATAACACAAAATATTATTAGAAATTAATTTTCAATATAAAATATGAGATTTTAAACAATATAAATAAGATAAAATTACGAAAAGTTCTAAAAATCCGACTTTTAAAAAAGTACTTTTTCTACTACTTTTTTAAAAAGTCCCATAATCGTTAAAAATGCATTTTAAACCACAAATAAAACAACAAAAGGCCTATTAATGCAATCAAAATGACAAGAACTCTCAAATTCTCACACTTTGAAAAGGTAGTATATTTACTACTTTTTTTAAATAACACAAAATATTATTAGAAATTAATTTTCAATATAAAATATGAGATTTTAAACAATATAAATAAGATAAAATTACGAAAAGTTCTAAAAATCCGACTTTTAAAAAAGTACTTTTTCTACTACTTTTTTTTTAAATCACAGAAATCTGTAAAAATACTTTTTAAACAACTTCTACTACATTTTTATAAAGTTACAAAAATCATTTAAAACATGTTTAAAACCAATAAAAATGGCGATAAAGAAAATCTTAAATTTGTGACTTTTTAAAATAGTAGTATTTTTACTACTTTTTTAAAATTTACCAAAACTCGTTAAAAAAAAATTTAAATAAACCAATTAATTAGTATTATAAATGACAAAATATCTAAAACTCTAAAATTCATACGTTTTAAAAAGTTAGTATTTCTGCTACTTTTTTAAAAAAGTAACAAAAATCACTTAAATTGTGATTTAACCATATATAGTTAGACTAGACTGTAGTTTGCGATATAACCAATGCGATTGCATAAAGAAAATCCAAAAATTTTGACTTTTAAAAAAGGAGTACAATTTCTACTACTTTTTTCAAATTTACCAAAAATCACAAAATCAACAAATAATGCAACAAAATTGGTATTATTGATGTCAAAATATGAAAAACTAAAAATTCATCCGTTTTAAAAAGGTAGTATTTCTACTGCTTTTTTAAAATTTATCAAAAATTATTAAAAATACATTTTAATCAAGAAATAAGGCAACAAAAACCTTTTCATTGATGTCAAAATAACAAAAACATAAAAATTCAAATGTTTTAGAAAGGTAGTATTTCTACTACTTTTTGAATTTTTTATAGATTTATCTAAATTTACTAAATTATTTACCAGTTGTAAAACAAAAAAGTACCAGAAAGTCCCCTTTTTATAGATTTTCATTCAATCAGGATGCTGCGTGTTTGCATTAAAACCAAAAAGTACCAGTCATAGAACGAAAAAGTACCAAATATACTTTTTTACACTTTTGCATTAGCTTAGGACTCTTAACCCGTTAACAACACCTCCGCTTATCGTTTAACCTGTAGACGAAAAAGTGCCAACAAGTCCTCTTTTATAGAAAATTCAAAAAAAACTTTCTGAAGAACGAAAAAGTACCAAAAAGTTACCTTTTATAGGGTTCATTCACCCTTCTCACGAAGAATATAATCAAATAATATTTATTACACAGAATACATGTCTCAAACAAGATAAATTTTCAATAGCGGGTCCTAATACATAAAGAATACGTGTAAATTATAACAACCCGCAAGTCAAGCTGCTTATTCCTGTTAATTTAACAGAACTGTTAACACATTTGCAGAAAACTAAAGAAGAAGATAAAAATGGCAATAGTATTTGTGTTTGTTATTGTTGTTATTATAAAGTACTCTAATAGTGAAAAAGTAAATAATAACAATAACAACAACAACTGCAACAAGTGATGCTTTTGTTTTTGTTCTTTTGCTTTTAGTTTCTTTAAATTTCTTAAGTGTTCGGTTGTTAAGCGTTAATCGTCCTGTTTAAATTAAGCTAAAACATTAATTAATTGTTTATATTAAAATATTTTTGTTGTATATTATTAAGAAAATGTTAATTTATAATTGTATATAAAAATATTTATGAAAAGTGTTTTAGAAATTGGAGAAAAAAGTGTTAGAAAATTTTCAAATTTTGCAAAAAAATATATGAAAGCAATTATGAAATGGCGGTCGTTGCTTATTTTGTTTCCCGCAACATTCGTAAGCCGACAAACAAAGTGTGACAAGGAATAAAAGTGTTTTTTTTTTAGTGGGAGTGCAAGAGGGGGTGTATATGTTTGTAAAACATTAATTTGTTGTTATTGTTATTACAAATTGTTGATAAAGTAAGGGCTCAGTTAGTGTCTACAGTCCGTAACGTGAAGGATCTCCTAATGATTCGTTTTTGGCTTACGAAAACCATTGGAAGTCGTTACTTCCAGTTTAACCGTGAGGTTTCTGTATGAAAAACATGAATCAACGGATTCGTTACATTACGGAACGTAGAAACTAATCCATGCTTAAGAAGAAGAAAGTATTAAGAAGAAAATTTTATGAAGGCAAAAAAGTAATGGTGTTTTTGCTGTAAAATAAGAAGGCAACGACAACAACAACAGAAATAAAGGTAAGTGCAAACACTTTATAATACAAAGAAGTTTTACTTACAATGATTTGCCTTTTCTAAAATCTTCACTGGATTTATTACAAATCCACTAAGAAATAGTATGTTTAAGAGATAATGGAGAGAATACATACAAACAAACAATCATACGTGCTTGTGCATGAGCAACAAGTTTGTTGTGTTTTGTTTTTGTTAAACACTAGTTTTTTCGCCAATTTGTGAATGTTATTAAATTTAAAAGCCCATTAGCTTAGTGAGAAGGTTATGAATATCAAAGTGCTTTACGTGAACACCAGCCGTAGTGGCCTTATTTCACGGTGGTCTTTTTCAACCACTGGGTGAGCTTCTGTGACGACTCACTACTGCCCCTTTTGTGTATCTTCCACGCAGGTGACTTGAACATGACGGTCCATGTACAAGCGTTTTGCTCCAGTAATCGAGCTATCCAATATCTGACCATTGCTGTCCCGTTGCTTAACTTTCAAGAACATCACTTTCGTTTTCAACCACGCCGATGAGATGGCCTCTGCTGAGGCGTCAACAGTACCTAGATACGTATTCGGTAGTCCGAATTCCATAAAATAAGGAGAGGACTTTGTTCTTACTCACAGAGGATACACTGTGGTAAATCTGGTATGAGAGGAGTTGACCCTGAACATACCTGGACATGGAAGGAAAATTCAATGGTATCACTTGTATAAGATACCTTTCATCCATCACCATTCACCGCAGCACACTTCTCATTCATCTGACACACTCAGACGAGAACAACATCCGACTCATTTCCAACGCTTAGTACCACAGTCACTCCTCTGTCGGGTAACTGTTGTCATTCGGTAACAGCAGCTTATCCCGATTTATAGATTTCATCTTGCATCAGTGTTTTAACCGCCACTTTCTCTTCCCCCGAAATCGGGTTTAAACCACAGCCACCACGTGGATGCCGAAGGAACCTCAACCAACTGACTAGCCAGGACAAAGTCATGCGGGCAGATTATGTGGTTCTCTGGTTCGACCCCATATCAAAACATTTCAATGAAAGAACTTAGAAACATTTGAGCATCCACAGTGTATAGTCTCGGCAGGCTAGAGGTATTGGTAGCATCCTCTATACCGCGGGATTGCAATCACATCAAGATTGGGTCTTCTACCTAGTAGTATTTCTACTACTTTTTTAAAATTGACCAAAAATCACAGAAAATACATTTTAACACACACATAAGACAACAAACCCCCTATAATTGGTATTAAAATAACAAAATATGTAAAATTCCCTTGTTTTAAAAAGGTAGTATTTCTACCTTTGTTTTAAAAAGGTAGTATTTCTACTACTTTCTTTTAAAAAATAATAAAAATCACTTAAAATATATTTAAAACTATTGAAAACTCACAAAAATTGCGATTGCCTTAAAAAATCGTCAAATTTTGACTTTTTTAAATAGTACTATTTCTACTACTTATTTAAAAAGTTTCAAAATTACTTAAAATACATTTTAAATATCTAATATGAACAGCAAAACTCCTATTATTAAGGTTAAGATAATAAAATCTCCAAAATTGCAGCCTATTGAAAAGGTAGCATTTCTACTACTTTTCTAAAAAAACACAAAATAGCGTTAAAAATTTATTTTTAATATAAAATATGAGATTTTAAGCAATATAAAAAAGATAACATTATGAAAAGCTCTAAAAATCTGACTTTTAAAAAAGTACTTTTTTTACTACTTTTTTTAAAAGTCTCAAAAATCGTTAAAAATGCATTTTAACCAACAAATAAATCAACAAAAAGCCTATTATTGCACTCAACATAACAAAAAATCTAAAATTCTGTCATTTTTAAAAGGTAGTATTTCTACTACTTTTTTAAAAATTACTAAAATCACTTAAATTGTGATACTATCAACAAAACATACGTTTGAATAAAGAAAATACAAAAATTTTTCACATTTAAAAAAGTAGTATTTCTACTACTTTTTTAAAATTTAACAAAAATTATTAATAAAACAATGCACTTAATTTTTTATATATTTTTTTCATAAACTTTATTTTTATTGATTTTTTTTAGATTTTTCTTTCTTTTTATGTGACTAATAAAAACATTTAAAATAGTTATTATTGTTGTTGTTTTGTAGGTTTTATAATTTTTTATATATATATTTATAATAATTATAAGTATATGTTTTATAATTTATTGTAATAAGTATATGTATTAGGGTTGTTAATATATAATTTTATTTTAGAAATATTTAGTATTTTTTTGTTTCATTTTTATGTTTTTTAACTTAGACAATAACATATTATGTTGATGAAAGAGAGTAAGTAGTTGCTCTAAAAGTGCAAAAAAATGCTTAAAAATTACAGTTTTTAATTGTATTTAGTTTGTTTTATTTTAAGGTTAAATATGTTGTATAAGGGATTAAGTTTTATGTATATGGTTTAAATAGTAATGATTATGTGTTTAATTTGTTTATGTAGTATTTTAGAATTTTTCACTATTTTTATAAAATTTTATTTCATATTTTTAGAAATTTTTTTAAGAAAAATCAAGAAATTTTGGGGAAATTATATTTTTATACTTTTTCAACAAATAACAGCTTAAAAATTCGCCTCAAAACTCTTTAAAACTCAATTTTTCGTCATTTAAAAATAGTAGTATTTCTACTACTTTTTAAAAAAAGGTCACAAAATAGTAATTTTTTTTAAATATCTCTTGAATAAACATTTTAAATCAAAAAATCTAACATTTTTAAAAAAGTAGTATTTCTACTACCTTTTTCAAAATGTTTCAAAATATTTAAAAACTTGTTAAAACAATTCTGAAATACTAAATACGACAATAAAAAGTGATTTTTGCTTTAAATTTGAATATTTAAAAATAGTAGTATTTCTACTACTTTTTAAAAAAAAAGTCTCTACATGTTTAAAAACTTGTTATTAAAGTGCACAAACACTATAGAAGAAAATAAAAACTGATTTTATACAAAAATTTAGTTTTTTAAAATAGTAGTATTTCTACTATTTTTTTAAAAATGCTTCAAAATGTTTAAAAACTTGTTAAAACTGTTCTGAAATACTAAATAAGGCAATAAAAAGTGAATTTTGATATAAATTTAAATTTGAAAAAATAGTAGTATTTCACTACTTTTTATAAAATGCTTCAAAATTTTTTTAAAATTACATAGTTAAAACATTAGACATATATTAAAAAAGTAAATAAAAAGTGATTTTATTCAAAAATTTAGTTTTTTAAAAAAGTAGTATTTCTACTACTTTTTCCAAAATGCTTCAAAATATTTAAAAATTAGTTAAAACATTAGACAAATACTATAGAAGTATATAAAAAAAGGATTTTATGCAAAAATTTCGTTCTTTTAGAAAGTAGTATTTCTACTACTTTTTATAAAGTGCTTCAAAATGTGTAAAAACATGTTTAAATAGTACTGAAATGCTAAATAAGGCAATAAAAAGTGAATTTTGAAATAAATTTCAATTTTAGAAAATAGTAGTATTTCTACTACTTTTTTTAAAAATGCCTCAAAATTTTTAAAAATTAGTTCTAAAGAATATTTAAGGCTATTAAAAGCAATTTTTGTTATAAATTTCAAGTTTAGAAAATAGTAGTATTTCTACTACTTTTTTTAAAATGCTGCAAAATGTTTAAAAACTTGTTGTAACAGTATTACAATACTAAATCAAAGACCTTTTAAATAAAAATTCTTATTTTCCACAAAATTTCTTGAGCTTTTCCTAAAAATTTCTTAAATTTTCTTTAATTTCTTTTCTACAAAAGAAATTTTGTTTAAATGTTTTATATTTCATCAATTTTCTTAATTATATTTTAATAAACTTACACTATTTTAACTTACAACTTTAAGAAAACCCTTTATAATTTGTGTTTAAGTCTTATCAACTAAAAGTTTATAATATTTTTTATAAGTTTAGGCTTAAATCTATAGACAAAAACAAGATTTAACTAAAAACAAAACAAAACCTAAAAAAAATAATATTAGTAACAAAACAAAAACAAAACTTAAAAAAAAACATTCGAACTTAAACGTAAAATATAACGCAGTCTCTTTGGAAATGAAAATTTTTATTTGGGATTTATAGTCAAAAAAAGGAAATGTACCCAGAGAAATAAGGTTTTTTATTATTTATTTAATGTTTTTTTTTTTCTTACTCCCAGAGAAGTGTTATTAAACAAAAACTTAGAAACTAATTGACTATTTTGTTTGTGTTTATAAAACTAAAACAAAAAGCTCTTTTTTTATGGAGAACTTAAACAAAAACAAAAAATTTAACTTTAGTCTGTTTTATGTTTATTTTCACTATATTTTAGGCACTTATGGTTATATATTTATTTTTGTGTATTTTTTTAGGGAACTTTTAAATAAAACAAAAAATTTTCACAAGCTAAAAGCTTTCAAAGCTTTAAATGATATGGCAGTTGTTGTTTAATACAAAAACAAATAAAAAAAATTTTAAATCTAAAAAAATAAAAGTTTGTGATGTTAATTTCAGCAATAATTACGCCTATTGTTTAAAAAAGCTTTAAAAGCTTTTAGTTTTTTCCCAGAATTTAAAAAAAAAATAAAAAAGCTTTTTCGTGTGTAAGTTTAAAAGGGGAAAAATTCATATAAAAACCACTAATTATTAAAAAAAGAAAAAAATTCTTTAACAAAAATCTTTAAAAGCTTTAACCTATAAAAGCTTTTTTTAGTAAATGCCGGTTTTCTATAAAAAATAGCAAAAACTTTAAGCTCAAGGTATAAATGTTAATAAAATCATAAGAAATTCATAAAAGCTTTATGAAAAGTAAAAAGCTTATTACAAAAATTTAAAAGCTTTTTAGCCAAAACTATAAGAAAATGCTAATAAAGCGCTTTATAAATAAACTGCCTTAAAAAAACTTTATTTTTAATATAAATTGTGAAAAGCTTTCATATATGTATTTCCTAAAAGCTTTTACATAAAATCCTAAAGCTTTTAGTTAATTTTCATGTATTTCTATTTAACAATAATTTTATAGCAGAAAAACTTAAAAGCTTTTACTTTTATTATATAAACTTAAAAGTTTTCTTTAGAAATTGAAAGCTTTATAACAAAAACTTTAAGAAAAACTTACTTAATTACTGTTTAAAAGTTTTGCGATATAAAAAAAAACTTTATTTAAAGTAAAAATGTGTAAAAGCTTTTAGTTAATATTAATAGCTTTAGATATATTTCCATAAATTTTAGATAAATTCTTATTAAAACCATGAAGATTTTGAAAAGCTTTGATTTTAAACGCTTTTTTATAAGGATTTCTTGTTGAAAAGCAAAAGCTCACTAAAAGTTTTTTTGGAAAAGCGACAATTTTATATATTTTTAGCAAGAAAATTTTAAAATTTTTATTAAATTTTAACCAAATTCTAATTTTTAATAAATTTTAACAAAATTAAAATTTTTAATAAAATTTTGGAAAAGCTCGTTAAAACTTTTTTGAAAAAATCGCTAACTTAGATATATTAAGCACGAAAATTTAAAAATTGTGAATAAATTTTACCAAAATTCTAATTTTTAAGCCAAACTTTCGGAAAGCTTTTAACAAATTTTCAAACTTTTAACAAATTTCAGAAAAAAAGTTGTTAAATAATTTATTGGGAATTTGAAAAGTAATAGATTTTAAAGCTTTCAGCTGAAAAAGCTTTTTTTAAATAAAAAAGCTTTCAAAAGCTTTTTTTGAAAATTTTACATTTTTGCTAGTTTTGCTTTCAAATATTAGAGTTCTCCTGAAATTCAACTTATACTTCACGAAAAAGCTCTTTTTTACTCAATTTTGTACATAATTTTTTTGTATAAAAGAAAATTTTGGTATTCAGCTTTAAAGTTTTCATGGCTCACTTTTCTTATTTTTGTTCCAATTACCTTATTAACTAAATAAAGAAAATACACTTTACGACTTGCACTATTAAAAACTTATTAACAAAAAAAAAACTACAACATCTTAAACATGAAAAGCTGGGATTTTTCTTTTGTATACAAACACCTAAAGCTTTAACTATAAAGAAAAAGGAGGGAAGGGGGGGGCAGGAGTTAGTGTAACATTATGTTTAAGTAAAAGACTCACCGAAAGTTGACTTAACTTTCGTATAGTATAATAATGGAATAGTTTTGTATGTCCATAAGCTAAGGGGTGCCATTGGTAGTGTTCGAGGGTAAGGAGGCCAATGAAGTGGAGGGATTAATAGGTATAATAGAGAGTTCATTGTTGTTGGGTAGTAAAAGTTCAGCTTGCATGATTTGCTGCTGTTGTTGCTGCTGCTGCTGCATAGAGTTGTTGCTTAAAAGGGAGTTGTTAGAGGAATTCGTAGAAGATGTTATAGTTAAGGTAGGAGTTTCATTAGTAGAGTTTAAAGATATATCTTGATCCTCCATTTCTTCATCACCATTTTCCACCAGTAAACTAGAGTAACGACAGGAGGTGGACTGGCATTTGCAGGTGAAATAACGATTCTTAATCGACCAAAATTTATCGCCATAATCAAAGCTGAAAGTAAAAGTTTTAGTAATTTGTACAAGTTATTTGTTACCTATAATAATTACCAAATTTCCTCTCCCACTTCTATGTCACGACAGGTGAAGAATGATATTTTGGGAAAACGATAATCTTGATGTTGATAAAATACCCTAACGGGCACAATATTAGGTTCACATGAATGATTAAAGAAACGACTAACATTGCCATAATAGTTGGCATCGATACAATGATTATGACCCAAATCGAAAAAGTAAGAATCGTCGGTACGACGATCAGCCTCCATTTCTGTTAGAACTTCTCCGGTATAAACTGCCACAAAACTGCCCTTGGGTATGTGGACCATGGTGCGTACACCCCAGCCTTTGGAAGAGTCTTCACATTCAATCACCTGCAGCGGTATGGTTATGCCATTTTGTACTACACGATTTTTGCAAAAACGCTTCAAAGAAATTTTGAAAAAATCAGCATAAAAACAACAAATTTTAATGAAATTTTCTTGCTACCTTATTGCAATTGCACACATCATTACATTCGAATAAAACAGCTGGATCCTCAAAGTTAAAATCGGCACTTAGTCGTCCCTCTGCCGTATACCAGCTGCGATCCGAGGCTCCCGTACACTGACAGCTATCGGTGGTGCATCTGATAGAAAAATAAATTTTAAAAAAAGTTTCCCTATTTCCTTCAATCCTGTACTCACCCATCACTACAATTACATATGCGCATTTGCGATACTCGCTGATCAATTTGTACCGAATTCTGCAATATTATAGTATCGGTTATATAACGAAAATCGGGTAACATTAATTGATCAGACTCTTCTACTGGCATGACATTATTTTCATTGCGTAAAGCTTGAATCGGGCACAATTCACGACCATTACTGATGTCACCACAAACAATGTTCGAACGACGACGATGTAAAGCATGCATTTCCATTTGAAAGCCTACATGACGAGCACAATCTGAATGTTCGTCGGGTATGCAGTCATAGGGTAGTTCATCGGAACGATTGCGCAGCATCAGGTCGGCACCATTGAAAATAAGTAAAAGGCAGAGTTTTTTACTTGATAAACGACAGGCAATGTGTCTAGAGGAAAGAAAAGGGAATGCATATTAAAACAAATTCATCATTCTTATATCTCTAGTTCAGTTCTAGTTCAGTTCTAATTCAGTTCTAGTTCAGTTCTAGTTCAGTTCTAGTTCAGTTCTAGTTCAGTTCTAGTTCAGTTCAGTTCTAGTTCAGTTCTAGTTCAGTTCTAGTTCAGTTCTAGTTCAGTTCTAGTTCAGTTCTAGTTCAGTTCTAGTTCAGTTCTAGTTCAGTTCTAGTTCAGTTCTAGTTCAGTTCTAGTTCAGTTCTAGTTCAGTTCTAGTTCAGTTCTAGTTCAGTTCTAGTTCAGTTCTAGTTCAGTTCTAGTTCAGTTCTAGTTCAGTTCTAGTTCAGTTCTAGTTCAGTTCTAGTTCAGTTCTAGTTCAGTTCTAGTTCAGTTCTAGTTCAGTTCTAGTTCAGTTCTAGTTCAGTTCTAGTTCAGTTCTAGTTCAGTTCTAGTTCAGTTCTAGTTCAGTTCTAGTTCAGTTCTAGTTCAGTTCTAGTTCAGTTCTAGTTCAGTTCTAGTTCAGTTCTAGTTCAGTTCTAGTTCAGTTCTAGTTCAGTTCTAGTTCAGTTCTAGTTCAGTTCTAGTTCAGTTCTAGTTCAGTTCTAGTTCAGTTCTAGTTCAGTTCTAGTTCAGTTCTAGTTCAGTTCTAGTTCAGTTCTAGTTCAGTTCTAGTTCCGTTCTAGTTCTTTTCTAGTTCTGTTCTAGTTCTGTTCTAGTTCTGTTCTAGTTCTGTTCTAGTTCTGTTCTAGTTCTGTTCTAGTTCTGTTCTAGTTCTGTTCTAGTTCTGTTCTAGTTCTGTTCTAGTTCTGTTCTAGTTCTGTTCTAGTTCTGTTCTAGTTCTGTTCTAGTTCTGTTCTAGTTCTGTTCTAGTTCTGTTCTAGTTCTGTTCTAGTTCTGTTCTAGTTCTGTTCTAGTTCTGTTCTAGTTCTGTTCTAGTTCTGTTCTAGTTCTGTTCTAGTTCTAGTTCTGTTCTAGTTCTAGTTCTAGTTCTAGTTCTAGTTCTAGTTCTGTTCTAGTTCTGTTCTAGTTCTGTTCTAGTTCTGTTCTAGTTCTGTTCTAGTTCTGTTCTAGTTCTGTTCTAGTTCTGTTCTAGTTCTGTTCTAGTTCTGTTCTAGTTCTGTTCTAGTTCTGTTCTTTCTGTTCTAGTTCTGTTCTAGTTCTGTTCTAGTTCTGTTTCTAGTTCTGTTCTAGTTCTAGTTCTAGTTCTGTTCTAGTTCTGTTCTAGTTCTGTTCTAGTTCAGTTCTAGTTCAGTTCTAGTTCAGTTCTAGTTCAGTTCTAGTTCAGTTCTAGTTCAGTTCTAGTTCAGTTCTAGTTCAGTTCTAGTTCAGTTCTAGTTCAGTTCTAGTTCAGTTCTAGTTCAGTTCTAGTTCAGTTCTAGTTCAGTTCTAGTTCAGTTCTAGTTCAGTTCTAGTTCAGTTCTAGTTCAGTTCTAGTTCAGTTCTAGTTTCAGTTCTAGTTCAGTTCTAGTTCAGTTCTAGTTCAGTTCTAGTTCAGTTCTAGTTCAGTTCTAGTTCAGTTCTAGTTCAGTTCTAGTTCAGTTCTAGTTCAGTTCTAGTTCAGTTCTAGTTCAGTTCTAGTTCAGTTCTAGTTCAGTTCTAGTTCAGTTCTAGTTCAGTTCTAGTTCAGTTCTAGTTTCAGTTCTAGTTCAGTTCTAGTTCAGTTCTAGTTCAGTTCTAGTTCAGTTCTAGTTCAGTTCTAGTTCAGTTCTAGTTCAGTTCTAGTTCAGTTCTAGTTCAGTTCTAGTTCAGTTCTAGTTCAGTTCTAGTTCAGTTCTAGTTCAGTTCTAGTTCAGTTCTAGTTCAGTTCTAGTTCAGTTCTAGTTCAGTTCTAGTTCAGTTCTAGTTCAGTTCTAGTTCAGTTCTAGTTCAGTTCTAGTTCAGTTCTAGTTCAGTTCTAGTTCAGTTCTAGTTCAGTTCTAGTTCAGTTCTAGTTCAGTTCTAGTTCAGTTCTAGTTCAGTTCTAGTTCAGTTCTAGTTCAGTTCTAGTTCAGTTCTAGTTCAGTTCTAGTTCAGTTCTAGTTCAGTTCTAGTTCAGTTCTAGTTCAGTTCTAGTTCAGTTCTACTTCAGTTCTAGTTCAGTTCTAGTTCAGTTCTAGTTCTGTTTTAGTTCTGTTCTAGTTCAGTTCTAGTTCTGTTCTAGTTCTGTTCTAGTACTGTTCTAGTTCTGTTCTAGTTCTGTTCTAGTTCTGTTCTAGTTCTGTTGTAATTCTGTTCTAGTTCTGTTCTAGTTCTGTTCTAATTCTGTTCTAATTCTGTTCTAGTTCTGTTCTAGTTCTGTTCTAGTTCTGTTCTAGTTCTGTTCTAGTTCTGTTCTAGTTCTGTTCTAGTTCTGTTCTAGTTCTGTTCTAGTTCTGTTCTAGTTCTGTTCTAGTTCTGTTCTAGTTCTGTTCTAGTTCTGTTCTAGTTCTGTTCTAATTCTATTCTAATTCTGTTCTAGTTCTGTTCTAGTTCTGTTCTAGTGCTGTTCTAGTTCAGTTCTAGTTCTGTTTTAGTTCTGTTCTAGTACTATTCTATAGTACACTTTAGACTTATAGTCTAGTTTAATATCGTTTTTTTTTTTTTTTTTTCAAAATTTACTTACAAAGGCGTTTCACCCTCCACATTTTGTATATTACAATTAATGCCCGCCTTTAGTAATACTGTTATTGTATCCAAATCATGATTCTGTAATGCTGCCCAATGTAACACCGTATTATTGTCATTATCGCAGATATTGGGATCAGCACCTTGTTGCAGAAGTAAACTGCAATAAAATTTTCGCATTTAAAGAACTTCCCACAATCCAGGTTACAATAAACATTTCCCTTTACCTTACTATATCCGTATGACCTAATTCAGCGGCCCAAACCATGGCCGTCCAACCACCATCATCTTGAGCATTAATAAAACTCAAAAATTGTGACACATCCTTACTGGCCTTATAGCTATGAACAATAAGCTTAAGGATTTCCAAGTTACCAGTACGTGCTGCTATATGTAGAACAGTATGACCATCAGGACCCTATAAAACAAATATTAAGAAATTTTAAAAACTTGAAGACATCACCCACTTACCCTTAAAGCCAAATCGGCACGATTTTGCAAGAAAAGATTAACAATATTACACTTTTCCTCTTTGACAGCACACATAATGGCGGTGCGTAGCTCACGGTCCATCATATTAATAAAATCCGAGCCTACACCCTGGCACAATAATAAATAGGCCATTTGTATGGTGCCATAATGGGCCACTAAATGCAAACAAGTGCCATGATAAAATTCACGCATGCAGGTTGTAACATCGTAATTAGAAGCTACAAGAAAGCAATAGTTTAATCAACAAGAGTTTATTTTTATTTCTAAACATCAAGCTTACCCAATATTTCCGCTACCCTTTCCAAATCATCATTCTTTATCGCATAATACATATCTTTGGTGGTAAATTCCGTTGCCTGATTGTGTGTTTGCAAAGTACGTCCTCGAGCATTTACCACATTCATAACCGATTCGGGTATAAGTTTATCATAGTTAATGTTAACATAGGGACGTATAACGCTTGTTGACCAGCTCACAGAAGCCGGGCTATTTACACTGCCTAGGGGAGTAAGCGAGGAATTTGTAGCAGTATTGCTGGCAGGGGTTAATGAGGGTACTAGGGGCTTTTGTGTGGCCTGGAATATGGGCACGGTTTGAGTTTTCATAGTAATGGTAGAGGTGCGTTCGGGTGTGTCTAGGCCACAGTGTGGACACTTAAGTACCAATGTACGACTAGCATTTTTCGAGGCAGGTTGTTGAGGATCATATTTAGAGCTGAGAACAATACGCTGTGCACAGGCTGCGTGAAAGAAGTGCTTTTGTTTGCACAAGATAAATTTGCCCTGGAAAAAAAATACAAAATTTTTAACAGAAAATCAAGAGTGAATAAAACTGAACTAGAACGGAACTAGAACTAAACTAGAACTGAACTAGAACTGAACTAGAACTGAACTAGAACTGAACTAGAACTGAACTAGAACTGAACTAGAACTGAACTAGAACTGAACTAGAACTGAAATAGAACTGAACTAGAACTGAACTAGAACTGAACTAGAACTGAACTAGAACTGAACTAGAACTGAACTAGAACTGAACTAGAACTGAACTAGAACTGAACTAGAACTGAACTAGAACTGAACTAGAACTGAACTAGAACTGAACTAGAACTGAACTAGAACTGAACTAGAACTGAACTAGAACTGAACTAGAACTGAACTAGAACTGAACTAGAACTGAACTACAACTGAACTACAACTGAACTAGAACTGAACTAGAACTGAACTAGAACTGAACTAGAACTGAACTAGAACTGAACTAGAACTGAACTAGAACTGAACTAGAACTGAACTAGAACTGAACTAGAACTGAACTAGAACTGAACTAGAACTGAACTAGAACTGAACTAGAACTGAACTAGAACTGAACTAGAACTGAACTAGAACTGAACTAGAACTGAACTAGAACTGAACTAGAACTGAACTAGAACTGAACTAGAACTGAACTAGAACTGAACTAGAATTGAACTAGAACTGAACTAGAACTGAACTAGAATTGAACTAGAACTGAACTAGAACTGAACTAGAACTGAACTAGAACTGAACTAGAACTGAACTAGAACTGAACTAGAACTGAACTAGAACTGAACTAGAACTGAACTAGAACTGAACTAGAACTGAACTAGAACTGAACTAGAACTGAACTAGAACTGAACTAGAACTGAACTAGAACTGAACTAGAACTGAACTAGAACTGAACTAGAACTGACTAGAACTGAACTAGAATTGAACTAGAACTGACCGAGAACTGAACTGGAAGTCTCATCCAATTTTTACTCACCTGCGTACAAAAGATACCACACGCCGGACAGGAATTATGAGCCTTAAGTCTCTTCTGATGCTCCTCACACAGGACCATATATACAGACCTCTGACTGGCTCTAAACAAATTTAGCACCTCACCCGTGAGTTGATGAGAACAACCCACTTTTTCCTCATCTATATTATCAATAGCCCAACAATATTGTGTTTCCTTAATCATGGGCGTACAATAGTTAGAGGTGATGTGACATAAACAATCAAATTTAGTTTTTGCTGAGGTTTCTGGCACCGTTAAAGAAGTGGAGGCATTTGAGGAGGTGGTATTCTGCCCGGTAGTTGAGGGTGTAGGAGTGGTGGCTGATGTATTCTCCGCCACTACAGAGGCATTTAAAGATTTCAATTCCACCACCTTATCGGCATTGGTGGAAATAGTTTTCTGCCTTTGAGTGCGTCTTGTTTGGGGAGGTGTGGATGAGGAGGAAACCGATCTTTGTGTAGTGGTGGCAGCTGCTGTTGGAGGCTGTGTAGTAGTGGTATCTTTACGCCCCCTTAAAGTCACACTAGGTTTACCTACTTGTACACGAGTGGTGGGCACAAATTCAGCATTATCACTTAAACTATCATTGTCACTTGACTCATTGCTGACATTACGCCTTAGGCCCATTCTTTCGAAATATTTCTCCTTTTGTTTATTCAATTTGCGCTGCTGTTTCTTGCTTAACTTTTTATCTTCGGGTGAACGATTTTGATTCCATTTTCCTGATTTTATTTCCTGCAGGAACTTTTTTATATCAGGGCAGGGAAAAAGCTTCTTTTTAATATTACTAGTGCCCGTGGGATGACTGTCATTACTATTTTCTGATTTTTCACTCTTCTGCTTGGAATTTGTGGTTGTGTTATGTTCATTTTGTGTGACAATTTGATGTGTAGGAGTTGTAGTGTCATTTTGTTGCTGCTGCTCTGTGGAACTCCAATTCTGGGCTGTCATTCGAACAATATTTTTGGTTTCAAATTCATAACGAAGTTCATCATTTTCTAAAATCTTAGTAGTTGGTTTTATGCGCCTCTGGGAACGTTTTGGTACAATGACAGCCGCCTCTGAGTTGTGTTTTTTGTAATTAGTTGTGGCTGATGTAGTAGAGGATGTATTTTGTTCGTTGTTATCTTGCTGCAATTTCTCAGTTTCCAATTGTACTTTAGCTTTTCGTCCTCGCTTTTTAGGAGGTGTCTTCTCATCTAGCGTTAATCTTAAAGTCTTTCTTGTGGGTGATTCATTGCTTTCATGATTTTTATTATTGTCATCTGATGGCTCCTTTTCCTCATCGAATATTTTGAAACCATCCAAACGATTGCACAAACGTTCACTACGTCTTGTGCGCTTACCCTCTTCATCTTCTGATTTATTGAGTAGTCCTGCCAATTCAATTTCATCATCTGCAGGATTCTTCCGTTTACGTGTTAATTTACGTTCTGTGTTTTGTGGCGAACTGTGACGTTCAATTATGGGTAATTCGTTTGTGGTAGCGTTGTGATTGCTATCAGCATCTGTGGTGGAATATTTTTTATTTCTACCTCTACCACGTTTAGAAACCGGCTGGTGTTTATCTATTAATGGTTTGTTGTCATCAATTAATGATGTATCATTGCTTTCGGCGGCATTAAGGATTGATTGTTCTTCTAAATCTGTAGAGGATTTTTGCAGATTTTCATTTTGAGTGCTGGGTGCAGTATCAGCAGCCGATGACAGATTCTGCAAAGAGTTAACATAATTTGTTGGTTTATATTTTATGCATATTTTAGGCTAGTCTTGACTACAGTACATTTCTAGTTCAGTTCTATAGTCTAGTCTATAGTCTAGTCTATAGTCTAGTCTATAGTCTAGTCTATAGTCTAGTCTATAGTCTAGTCTATAGTCTAGTCTATAGTCTAGTCTATAGTCTAGTCTATAGTCTAGTCTATAGTCTAGTCTATAGTCTAGTCTATAGTCTAGTCTATAGTCTAGTCTATAGTCTAGTCTATAGTCTAGTCTATAGTCTAGTCTATAGTCTAGTCTATAGTCTAGTCTATAGTCTAGTCTATAGTCTAGTCTATAGTCTAGTCTATAGTCTAGTCTATAGTCTAGTCTATAGTCTAGTCTATAGTCTAGTCAATAGTCTAGTCTATAGTCTAGTCTATAGTCTAGCCTATAGTCTAGTCTATAGTCTAGTCTATAGTCTAGTCTATAGTCTAGTCTATAGTCTAGTCTATAGTCTAGTCTATAGTCTAGTCTATAGTCTATAGTCTAGTCTATAGTCTAGTCTATAGTCTAGTCTATAGTCTAGTCTATAGTCTAGTCTATAGTCTAGTCTATAGTCTAGTCTATAGTCTAGTCTATAGTCTAGTCTATAGTCTAGTCTATAGTCTAGTCTATAGTCTAGTCTATAGTCTAGTCTATAGTTTAGTCTATAGTCTAGTCTATAGTCTAGTCTATAGTCTAGTCTATAGTTCTAGTCTATAGTCTAGTCTATAGTCTAGTCTATAGTCTAGTCTATAGTCTAGTCTATAGTCTAGTCTATAGTCTAGTCTATAGTCTAGTCTATAGTCTAGTCTATAGTCTAGTCTATAGTCTTGTCTATAGTCTAGTCTATAGTCTAGCCTATAGTGTAGTCTATAGTCTGTCTATAGTCTAGTCTATAGTCTAGTCTATAGTCTAGTCTATAGTCTAGTCTATAGTCTAGTCTATAGTCTAGTCTATAGTCTAGTCTATAGTCTAGTCTATAGTCTAGTCTATAGTCTAGTCTATAGTCTAGTCTATAGTCTAGTCTAGTCTAGTCAATAGTCTAGTCTATAGTCTAGTCTATAGTCTAGTCTATAGTCTAGTCTATAGTCTAGTCTATAGTCTATTCTATAGTCTAGTCTATAGTCTAGTATATAGTGGCATAGTCTAGTTTATAATCTAGCTGTTCTAAGATAAAACTACATATTTCACAATAAAACATATTTTAATTTACAATTTAGTTTAAATAACATTTAGGGAAAATCTTTTTAATTAACTTCGGTTTTTCCCCCCAAATTTCTATTGGTTTTTATTTCCTTTCAAAATAATATTTTTCTTCTTTTTATTGCCCATTCTCTCTCAATACTTTTTCTAAATAAAAATATATTGTGTAATTAAGTTATACTCACATTTTTAACACCTTTAACATCATTATTAGTTAGCTCCCCTTCTTTATTAACATCATTAACACCAACATCATCTGGTTTTATAGCAAGAAGAGTATTTGCAGTGTTGTTGTTGTTATTATTAAGCACCTCTTTGGTTGTTATTGTTGTTGTTACATCCCCATGTTTAGTAATAGCACACTCATTTGAGTTTGTTGTAGTTGTAGTACCGTTATTATTTGCTTGGTTATTATGATTTGTATTTATTTCATTTGTATTGTTGTTGTTATTGTTATTAGTAATTTGTTGTGGAGGGGGTTTGTTGGTTTTGTTGTCAAATGAGGGGCTGTTTGTTAGGGAGGTGTTGTTGTTGTTGGTTTTTAACGTTTGCGCAGTAGATTTTGCTGTCGTTGCCGTAGAATTATTATTGTTGTTGTTGTTGTTTGTGGGCTTATCATTTTTATGTTTTTCTGTTTCATTATCTGCTTTAACGGTTTTATTGCTATTTGTGGGGTTTTCTTCTTTTTGTTTGTTGTCTTCTTGTTGAAGAGCAGATGTTGATGGTTTTGTTGTTGTTGATGTTATGGTGGATGCTGTTGCTGCTTCTTTTTCATTTACTTTGTTTTGATTTGTTATTTGTGTTTTGTTTGAAGAATTTTCTTGTTCTTGTTTGTTTATGTTGGGAATTTGGTCTTCATCATCGTGGTCGGCAGTTGTTGGTGGATTTATTTTGCCAACAAGTGTTTTGGGAGAGGGAGATATTAAATTTATAATTGTTGAGGGAGATGTTGATGCTGCTGCTGCTTCTTCTGCCTCTATGGCTGCTAATGTTGTGCTTGTTTTAGTTAACATTTCTTTTTCATTTAGATTTTCTATTTTTATGTTTAATTCTTGTTGATTTGAATTTGTAATTAATTTTTCTTTTTCTTGTTGTTGTTTTTGATTATTATTTGTTGTTGTAGTAGTTGTTAAGTTATTAGTATTGGTATTATTGTTGGTTTGTTTTATTAAAACTGGCTGACCTTGATTTTGATTGGTTTTGTTACTGTTATTATTATTATTGTTGTTGTTGTTGCTATTAGCATTATTTTGTATTTCCTTTGCTTTATTACAATTTAATAATTGTTCGGACTTTGTTTCCTTGATTTCCAAGTTAATGGTCTCCTCTACTTCTTCCTCTAGTAAATCTTTAAATGTTTGCTCTAGATTTTCTTCATTAGCAAGTAATTTTTCTTTTACTTCTCCACCTTCTGGCCCACCTACTACATGATCATTTTCTTTTTTAAACTTTTGCTCTTGTGTATCCTCAACAGCAGCAGGCTCCTGTTTATTTAAATTATTTTCCTGCTTCTCTAACTCAACCCCACTTTCTGCTGCTTCTGTCTCTGCGGCAGCTGTTGTAGTCATTGATTTCACACCAGGTTTCTTATCTTTATCTTTAGCAGCAAATTGATTCTTGGACAAATTTCGCCATTTCAAAGTCTTATCATCGGTTAGATCTACTTCAGCATTAGAGGGGCAATCACTGTTAAAGGTGTTCACCATGCTGCTCAACAATCCCTCCAAACAATCCGTCATTTTGTTAAAATTTTTATTTTTCTATAAAATTTTCTTAAAAAATTTTATTTCTCCTCCCTTTTTCTAAAAAAATATTCTTTTTTTATATTTTTTCCACTTTTGACGTCACTTCTTTATTTTTTCCTTCCAGCTTAAAAAAATATTACTTTTTCAGCAAAATTTCTCTCTAATCTTTAACATTTTGTTTAAATTTCTATGTTTCTTCCTCTTACAATAATTATTGCTTCATTTTAATTAAATTTTTTTAGATATTTATTCAAACATTACTTTTTTTGTATTTCTTCACCATAAAAAAATCTTTTTATATCTCTTCTCTTAAATATGAAAAACACACATGCACACACATACACTCTTTTACACACAAAAACTTATGCTGCTTTTGCTGTTGTTGTTTTTGCTGGTGTTCATGTAGCAGCAGAAAAAAAAATTCAGTTTTTTTTCTAGCTCTCTTCTCAATGTATTTTTGTTACAATTTAATGTTTTTCTTAATAATTTTTACATTTTTAGTTTTTCTCTTTAAAGTTTAAACTTTTATTTCTTAATTTTTACAAATATTTAATTTTTTCTTTGGGTTTTTCTATATTAAAAACAATTTTAATAAAAACACTCGAAGAAATGCAGTTTCTTTGCCCGTCTACTTTTTGACAACTTGAAGTGTTAAAAAAAAGACTGCCAGATGTTTGTTTATCACAAAAAGTTGCCATATTTAATTAATAATGTCATTCTTTCAGCGCCATTTTTGAAATGAAAATTTTTCCTGAGTCCAAAGAGCTCTGCAAAATTTGCTTGGATCTATACATAAACAGATACCCCCTTTTAAGTAGAATGCTCTGATCAAAAAAAAAAATGGTTTTGTTGAGGCTCAACAAATTTCCTATTTCCAATTAAAAAGACTGCCAGATGTTTGTTTATCACCAAAAAAGTTGTCATATTTAATAATCCACAAAAAAAACGCTCAAATAAATGGCAGAGTAAAAAAAGCAAAGGAAAAAGTGCTGCCTAGTTGTTTAGTCAAGCCTAAAACCTTTATTTATATACAAAAGGGAATTAGTAAAACGTAACGTTAACGTTTTAATGTATAGTATAAGTTATATAAAAGAAAAAACATCTAATTATCCATAACAAATTAATTTTTTCCAGAAATAATCAAATCATGTTCACCAAAAGTTTAGAAAAAATTTCTTTAAAATTAAAAATTTTTAATAAAAATTGAGATCAGTTACTCCACTAAAATTGCTGAAAATTATTGATAAAATTATTTAAAAACCGGTATCTTATGTTAAACATATAACTTGAAAAGATCACAATTATTTTTGTTATTCCTAACTTCACTTCTATAAAAAAGGCTTATTATGATATTTGACAGCATGTCTTACACTCAGTGGCATCCTTGTGCTAACATTGTTTTATTAAAGAAATACTGGCAACACTATTGTCTTCAAATAACCGCTATAAAACAAAATAGCGAAAGGAGACAGAGAAAACACGATAAGTTTTAAATAGCGCTTTTTCAATGCAAACACAAAAATCGCTACAAAAACAAAAACAAAAAACATAAAAACTTCCTAAAAAAACCATAAAATCACAGTTAAACGATTATATTTTGTTTTTCAAAACAAACTTATAAAAATACCAAAGAAATAGGTGTTGAAATGCAAAACACAAACATAAAAATGCAATAAAATACTTAAAAATAATGAAAGGTGTAAAAACAAGGAGAAAAAATTAGGAAAGAAATCAAAGACGAGCCACACATAAAATGCCAATAACTAAAACAAACTAAAACTACGAAAAACGACGAAAACTAAAAAAAAGAAAGAAAGAAAGAAAAGAACAACAAGGAAAGAAAGAAGGAAAAAGACGAAAGAAAGAAAAAAGAATAAGAACAAGGAACAGAAGAACGAAACGAACGAAAGAAAAGAAGGGAACGAACGAAGACGAGAACCGACAGAAAAAAACGAACGAAAGAACGAAGAACGAAGAAAAAGAACTAACGAACGAAAGAACGAACGAACGAACGAACGAACGAACCAACGAAACGAAAACGAAACGAACGAAACGAACGAAAGAACGAACGAACGACGAAGAACGAACGAAAGAACGAAGAACGAACGAACGAAAGAACGAACGAAGAACGAAACGAACGAACGAAAACACGAACGAACGAACGAACGAAGAACGAACGAAAACGAACGAACGAACGAACGAAAGAAACGAACGACGAACGAAAAGAACGAACAACGAACGAAAAAAAAAACGAACGAACGAACGAAACGAACGAACGAACGAACGAAAAAGAACTAACGAACAAACGAACAAACTAACTAACGAACTAACTAACGAACAAGAACGAACTAAATAAACGAACGAAAGAACGAACTAAAAACGAACGAACAAACTAACTAACGAACGAACGAACAAACTAAACAACGAAACGAACTAACAACGAACGAATAACTAACGCTAACGAGAACGAACTAACGAACAACGAACTAACGAACGAACTAACGAACTAACTAACGAACAACTAACGAACTAACGAAACGAACTAAACTAACTAACGAACGAAACGAACGAAAACGAACGAACGAACGAAGAACGAACGAACAACTAACTAACAAAAACTAACGAAAACGAACGAATAACGAACGAACGAACTAACGAACAAACTAACTAACAACTAACAACTAACTAACTAACTAAACGAACGAACTAAACTAATAACTAACAATAACTAACCTAACTAACTAACTAACTAACTAACTAACTAATAACTAACTAAAACTACTAACAATAACTAACTAACTAACTACTAACTAACAACTAACTAACTAAACTAACTAACTAACTAACTAACTAACTAACTAACTACCCTAACTAACTAACTAACTAACTAACTAACTAACTAACTAACTAACATAACTAACTAAACTAACTAACTAACTAAACTAAACTAACTAACTAACTAACTAACTAACTAACAACTAACAACTAACTAACTAACTAACTAACTAACTAACTAACTAAACTAACAAACTAAACTAACTAAATAACTAACTAAACTAACTAACAACTAACTAACTAACTAACTAACTAACTACACTAACTCACTAACTAACTAACTAACTAACTAACTAACTAATAACTAACTAACTAACTAACCTAACTAACTAACGAACTACTAACTAACTACTAACTTAAACTAATAACTATAACTAACTAACTAAACTAACTCACTAACTAACTAACTAACTCTAACTAACTAACTAACTACTAACTAACTACTACCTAACTAACTAACTACTAACTAACTACACTAACTAACGAACTAACTAACTAACTACTAACGAAACTAACTAACTACTAGACTAACTAACTAACTAACTAACTAACTAACTAACTAACTAACTAACTAACTAATAACTAACTAACTAACTAACTAACTAACTAACTAACTAACTAACTAACTAACTAACTAACTAACTAACTAACTAACTAACTAACTAAGCCTAACTAACTAACACTACTACTAACTACCTAACTAACTAACTAACTAACTAACTACCGAACTAACTAACTACTAACTAACTAACTAACTACTAACTAACTAACTAACTACTAACTAACTAACTAACTAACTAGCTAACTAACTAACTAACTAACTAACTAACTAACTAACTAACTAACTAACTAACTAACTAACTAACTAACTAACTAACTAACTAACTAAACTAACTAACACTAACTAACTAACTAACTAACTAAGACTGGAGCTATATTTTCAAAAATTTGAAGTTTTAAGAAAATATTTGATTTTAAAGTAATAATAAAAAACACAATTTTAATAATTAAACAAAAATTATTAAATAATTTTTTAATATTATATTAAATCTAGTATTTTAATATTTTTTGCAATGATTTTTGAAAAAATTTTAATTTTATGTTTATGTCAAAATATTTAAAATTTATAGATAAATTTCTAATATATTTACTAAGTAAAAAATTATAATTCAAAGAATTTTATATTTATTAAAAAATTTTAAAAATTTAAAATATCCTTAAAAAACTTCTAAGATTTTTGAACATCAAATTGCTATTAGTTTATTTTAGTAGTTATTAAATATTTAAGCCCTTTCTATAACTTCTAATAAGCTTGCAAAATCCGTTCTCTCCTGGCATATGAAACCATATTTACGTTCACAATTTATATCATTCCATTGCAATGAGCCATGGAAACCCAAATGAACACAACGTTCATTTAGATTTTTATAATTATTCGGTTCGCTCGATTCCCAATTTGTATAGCTAAAGGGTTTTATGGCCTCTTTGGTAATCCAATTAAACTTACGAAACTCTTCTTGATCATGGGCTCCCAAATAGAAACGAGGTATGGTTTTTTCTAAAATAAAAAGGTGTGTACGGTTTTAACAATATTGATATTTAATAAAATATTAAGTTTTTCTTACTGGAAAATACTTTCTTTAATAATTTCTCAATCTCCTCTGCTTTTTTGGCATCCTCTATGGTTAATAAATCCATTGTACGACTGTCACATTCGTTTAAAGCTTGGGCCCAAGTAAACTTTAGTAAGAAAACACAAAATTGATTTTACAATTTTTTTCCAATAATTTCTTATTACAAAACTCACTTTTTGTGCCGGTTGTATATAATATTCATTTTTTTCTTCCGATTTAAAGAGTAATTTGTCATCAGCACTATAGGCCAAAGAGCAAAAATATGCTATAATTACGATTAGCACTAGATTTATAGGTTGTTTCATGTTGGATGGTACGCGTAAAACTAAAGAAATTACAAACATTTTTTTTATTTAGTTCACTTTCATTATTCAATATTTTTGCGCTACTGAAACTGATAAAAAAATATATATTTTTATATAAATAGTAGCGGAAACATATTTAAGTTTAAGGAGATTTCTTTAGCAATCAAGGTCGCAATTTACAAATGCTCTACAGTTTTATAAGGGGTTTTTGAACTAAAATTGAATTTTTTTAAAGTTTTTTTTATAATTTTTGAAAGAAAAATTGAGTTCGAAATTAAGTTCAAATTTTCGAAATTTAGAAAAGTAGATCAAATTGGAACAAAATCCATTTAAAACTCATTTAAACTCTAAAATATTAAGATTTAAGTAAAAATTTAAAATTTTTTAAAGAAAAATTTAATTCGGAATTAAATTCGAATTTTCGAAATTAACAAAAATCTTTCAAATTTGTTAAAAAATTCTTTCAAAACGCTTTTTAAGTTTTATATATTAAGATTTTAGTAAAAATTTTAAATTTTTGAACAAAAAATTGATTTTGAAATTAAGTACGAATTTTCGAAATAAACAAAAATCTTTTAAATTTGTTAAAAAATTCTTTTAAAAAGCATTTTAAGTTTCAGATATTAAGATTTTAGTAAAAATTTTAAATTTATGAACAAAAAATTTATTTTGAAATTAAGTTCGAATTTTCGAAATTAACAGAAATCTTTCAAATTTGTGAACAATTCTTTTAAAATGCAATTTAAGTTTTAGATATTAAGTTTTTATTAAAAATTTTAAATTTTTGAAAGAAAAATTTATTTTGAAATTAAGTTCGAATTTTCGAAATCAACAAAAAATTTTGAAATTTTGTTAAAAAATTATTTTAATACGTATTTTAAGTTTTAAGATATTAAGATTTTAGTAAAAATTTTAAATTTTTTAAAGAAAATTTTAATTTGAACTAAATTCGAATTTTCGAAATAAACAAAAATCTTTCAAATTTGTTAAAATATTCTTTTAATACGTATTTTAAGTTTTAAGATATTAAGATTTTAGTAAAAATTTTAAATTTTTGAACAAAAAATTTATTTTGAAATTAAGTTCACATTTTCAAAATTAAGAAATATTGTTCCAATTTGTGAAAAATCCCTTTAAAACCTATTTAAACTCTGAAATATTAAGATTTAATAGATTTTTGAAATAAAATTTTATGGATTTAATTTTTTAAATTTATTTAGAAATGTGTTTCAATGAGATTGTTTCCTGCAATTACCTTTTTTATGGGTGTAGGGTGTCATTTAAATATGTATTTCCAGAAAAGGAAGTATTGTGGTTTTTATCTTTAATCATTTTTATATACATATGTATGTAAGTATATATATTGTGCTAAAATAACCCTGACTTACTTTCATAGTTATATCAATTAAAATAAAAACAAAATCATAAGATTCAAATTTAAAAACTTTTATTAAAACTTTTTAAAAATTTGCTGAAAAAATTATAAAACAATCATTTCAATATTTTATATTATTTAAAGGAATTAGAATATTTGAAATTTATTAAAAATCCTTACCCTCTACAGTTTGAGAGTCAAGATTTCATTAAGTTTTATAAAAAATTTTATAAATTTTTAAAAATAATTGTTGTAAATAAATGTTTTTTTGTAAATAAATGTTTTAAATAAAATTTTCAAAATTTATTTCAATTAAATTTTAATAGTTTTTTTTAAAAAAATTTCTTTAAAAATATTATAAAAAAAATTTATTTGCATTTAAATTTTTAAATCAAACTTCCAGTTTCCCATCTTTCCTGGCATATAAAACCATATTTTCGATCACAATTAACATCATTCCACTGATCGGTGCCATGAAAACCAATATTAACACAACGTTCATTTTGATTTTTATAATTATTCGGTTCACTTGGCTCCCAATTGGTATAGGTAAAGGGACCACTTACTGTGGAGGAAATCCAAGTAAATTCACGGAATTTTTCGAGATCATTAGCGCCCACATAAAAACGAGGTATAGGTTTGCCTGAAAATACTTTTTGCAGCATTTCCTTAATCTCTTTTGCCTTATCTGCATTTTCTATGGTCAATAAATCCATATCGCGGCTCTCGCATTCTTTTAAAGCCTCTTGCCAAGTGTACTATTTGAAAAATAATTTATTTTATTTTGATTTTTCTAATAAAATTTCTTTAAATTCTTACTTTTTTCGTCGGCATTATAAAAAATTCATTATTTTTAGATGATTTAAACAAATGATCTGGCTTTTGGGCAAAAGCGCAGGCCGCTAAAATGGCGAGCAAAAGCAAAATTTGTTGTTTCATGTTGGTGTCCAAACAAGAAAATACTAAAATTTATAAATTTCCATACAATTTTATACACGATTTTTTTCTTGAATAATGCATAATGCGGTTTTTATTTGATAAAAATATTTATGAAATGAAAAAGAAAAAAAAAATTAACATGAGTAAATGCTTCAAGATTTTGTTAAAATCAAGAATTTATGTTATACCCTACAAGGGGTTTTAAAGGTTTTCTAAACAAAAAGTGTTTTGTTGAAGAAATTTCTTTAAAAACGTAAAATTTTTCATAATCCATAAAAGTTTTCAATAAATATCAAAAATGCTCATCAAAATTGATCAGAAACTTATTTAGACTTTGAAATAATAAGATTTTAAAGCAAATTTTACCATTTTCTTGAGAAATCTAGAAATTCGAAATTAGGTTCGAATTTTCGAAATTAACAAAAATCATTAAAATTTGTTCTAAATTCATCTAAAACTTATTTAAACTTTGAAATAATAATATTTTAAATAAAATTTGAGCATTTTAAGAGAAATCTAGAAGTATTAAATTAAATAGAATTTTCGAAATCAACAAAAATCATTAAATTTTTTTCAAAATTCTTCTCAATATTGAATATAATAAGATTTTATACAATATTTGAACATTTTAAAAGAAATCTAGAAATTCGGAATTAAGTTCGAATTTTCGAAATTAACAAAATTTGATCAATTGAAAAAATTTTATTAAAAACTCATTTAAACTTTAAAATATTAAGATTTTGACACAAAATTTTATCAATTTAAAAGAAATATGTAAATTCTAAATTAATTTCGAATTTACGAAATTAACGAAAACCATTTAAATTTGTTCGAACTTTCAAATATTTAAATTTAAGTTCGAATTTTCAAAGTTAGGTAATTAGTTAGTTAGTTAGTTAGTTAGTTAGTTAGTTAGTAGTTAGTTAGTTAGTTAGTTAGTAGTTAGTTAGTTAGTTAGTAGTTAGTTAGTTAGTTAGTTAGTTAGTTAGTTAGTTAGTTAGTTAGTTAGTTAGTTAGTAGTTAGTTAGTAGTTAGTTAGTTAGTTAGTTAGTTAGTTAGTTAGTGTTAGTTAGTTAGTTAGTTAGTTAGTAGTTAGTTAGTTAGTTAGTTAGTTAGTTAGTTAGTTAGTTAGTTAGTTAGTTAGTTAGTTAGTTAGTAGTTAGTTAGTTAGTTAGTTAGTTAGTTAGTTAGTTAGTTAGTTAGTTAGTAGTTAGTTAGTTAGTAGTTAGTTAGTTAGTTAGTAGTTAGTTAGTTAGTTAGTTAGTTAGTTAGTTAGTAGTTAGTTAGTTAGTTAGTTAGTTAGTTGTTAGTTAGTTAGTTAGTTAGTTAGTTAGTTAGTTAGTTAGTTAGTTAGTTAGTAGTTAGTTAGTTAGTTAGTTAGTTAGTAGTTAGTTAGTTAGTAGTTAGTTAGTTAGTTAGTAGTTAGTTAGTTAGTTAGTTAGTTAGTTAGTAGTTAGTTAGTTAGTTAGTTAGTTAGTTAGTAGTAGTTAGTTAGTTAGTTAGTTAGTTAGTTAGTTAGTTAGTTAGTTAGTTAGTTAGTTAGTTAGTTAGTTAGTTAGTTAGTTAGTTAGTTAGTTAGTTAGTTAGTTAGTTAGTTAGTTAGTTAGTTAGTTAGTTAGTTAGTTAGTTAGTTAGTTAGTTAGTTAGTTAGTTAGTTAGTAGTTAGTTAGTTAGTTAGTTAGTTAGTTAGTTAGTTAGTAGTTAGTTAGTTAGTTAGTAGTTAGTTAGTTAGTTAGTTAGTTAGTTAGTTAGTTAGTTAGTTAGTTAGTTAGTTAGTTAGTTAGTTAGTTAGTTAGTTAGTAGTTAGTTAGTTAGTTAGTTAGTTAGTTAGTTAGTTAGTTAGTTAGTTAGTTAGTTAGTTAGTTAGTTAGTTAGTTAGTTAGTTAGTTAGTTAGTTAGTTAGTTAGTTAGTTAGTTAGTTAGTTAGTTAGTTAGTTAGTTAGATTTTCTGTAAATTTTTTTGTGTTTTTTTATATTTTTACCATTTTAGCGCTTTTTAAACGCTTCATTTCTTCAGCAGCTGGTAACTCTATTATTTTTATTTGCAATTTTCTTTTCCTTAGCTCTTCTTTACTAAATGAGTGGTTTTTTGTTTAGTATTTCATTTACTCTTGAGCTAAACGGTTGTCGTGAGCGCTTAACTAAAGACATAGCAAAGCAAAAGAAAATTAAGAAATAAAAAAAACAAAGTGTAATAATATAATTTCAACTAGTTTTATTTAAACTTAAAGTAAAAAGAAATTACAGAAAATTTTAATTAATTGTAATAAAATTAAACAGAATTAATATAAATAAAGAAAAGTGATTAAAACGAAGAAGAAAAATAAATTAAAACAAGTGTAGTTAAAGGTGAAATAGTGAAAAAATTGTCAAGAAAAAAATATACACCAAAATTAAAACAAAAACACCCCTCACGGCTCTCTTTTTGTTTTCTTTTTCAGCAAAAAAATAAAAACAATTACAAACAAACAACAACAAAACACAAAGGGGGTTGTTTAAAGAGCAAGTGTGTGCGTGTGTGTTTAGAAAAAAAAGAGATAAAGTGTGTTTTCTAGCGAAAAAAGAAGAAAATAATAACAAATAATAGAGTCAATGATAAAATTATAAATTTTAACAAAAAATCAACTAAATTTGCTATAAATTAAAAGCTTTTATCGCTAGAAGATTTTGTCATTTCTTTGGCAAAAAGAGTTTAACTAAAGTTCGTGTATTTGGGCCATGCGTGACCTCGGTTCAAAAATGGCCGAGCTTAAATTTGAGGCTCCTTTGGCAAAACTAGATGAAACCGATGACTGGGCCGGCTGTGATTTCATCTCTAATCAAAATCAACTCAATGACACTTTAAATCTAAATCTCAAAGATCCACTGGCCCAGCAGGAAAATAAGATACGTTTGCTGGAGGAGGCTGTACGAGATGCTCATGTTAGCAAGAATGGTGGCTATACGGGCAACATAAGTCCCAATTGTAATACTTTAATGGGTGAAGATATGTCGGCTTTTGATACTACTTTGGAGCCGCATAAGCAATCTATGAATGCCGGTGAATCGGTGGATAATTTTGGTGAAACTTTCGGTGGCAGTTTGGAGGATTTGGTCAATACGTTCGATGAGAAAATCACTAAGTGTTTTGGTAACTATGAGGAAAATGTTGAGGCGCTGGCGCCCGTACAAGTACGCAGTCAAGAGGAAATTATGAATGAATGCCAGTAAGTACCTAGTTAATATTTTTTTATGTTTAACAAATTATTAACTATTTTTTTTAGCAGAAAAGCAATACAAACAATTCCATACACTTGACTTTTATCGAATTTGTAAAAAAGAAATCTCGCTTCTGCGCTTTAGTAACCTCAATTTTGTTGCTATAGTTGTTGTGTTCTTCTTTTTCCAAAAGGACAACGACGTAATCTTTTTTTTTTTTTTTGGAATTTGTCATAGATTTTTATCCAAGCCTCCAGCTTTTCTAACAAAAACCCTGCCCTTTTTCCTTTAACTCCCCACAAAATGTTTAAATTTTATCTAAATTCTTATTTTTTTAACAATAGAAATTGAAAAACGTACCAAAATCTTAATCGATAAATCGATTTTTAACAAAAATTCCCCAAAAAACTACTTTTTGTTAAAAATTTAATAAAAAAAATATTTTTTTTAAAACAAACACATTGCTATTTACATATATTCTGGACTAATAAATCTTATGCTAATTTTATCGCAAGAAAATTGTAAAAATACTACCTTTTGAAAACGTACTTTTTACCCAAAATATCAGAATTTTTATTAAATTTGTATTCCACAACAATTTTAGACAAATTTTTCATGCTTTTACAACATTTTTGAAATAGTAGTAGAAATACTACTTTTTTAAAAAAGTTTTTTTTTTTTTTTATTCAGAATATAAAAATTTTTAATAAATGTATATGCCACAATAGTTTTAAACTAATTTTTCAAGTTTAGAGAGCATTTTTAAAATAGTAGTTGAAAAACTACCTTTTTAAAAAGGTACTTTTTTGCCCAAAATATCAAAATTTGTAATAAACTTCTGACCCCCAACAATTTTAAACAATTTATTCTTGTTTTTGAACATTTTTAAAATAGTAGTAGAGATACTACCTTTTTAAAAAGGTACTTTTCTACCCAAAATATCAGAATTTTTATTAAACTTCTGTCCCCCAACAATTAAAAAAAAATATTCAAGTTTTTAAAGCATTTCTGAAATAGTAGTAGAAATACTAGCTTTTTAAAAAGGTACTTTTCTACCCAAAATAACAGAATTTTTGTTAAACTTCTGTCCCTCAACAATTTTAAACATTTTATTCTTGTTTTTAAGCATTTTCGAAAGAGTAGTATAAATACTACCTTTTTAAAGTGATTTTTCATCCAAAATATTAAAATTTGTAATAAACTTCTGTACTTAACAATTTTAAAATGTTTTTGAAAATTTTTAAAATAGTAGTAGAAATACTACCTTTTTTAAAAAGTATTTTTTTAGCCAAAATAACAAAATTTTTGTTAAACTTCTGTCCCTCAACAATTTTTAACATTTTATTCGTGTTTTTAAATATTTTAATAAAAGTAGTAGAAATACTACCTTTTCAAAGAAGTGATTTTCTGTCCAAAATATCAACATTTTTAATAAACGTCTGTCCCTCAACAATTTTAAACATTTTATTCCTGTTTTTGAACATTTTTAATATAGTAGTAGAAACACTACCGTTTTTAATAAGTATTTTTTACCCAAAATAACAAAATTTTTGTTAAACTTCTGTCTCTCAATAATTTTTAACATTTTATCCTTCTAAGCATTTTCAAGAAAGTAGTAGAAATACTACCTTTTTAAAAAGGTAGTATTTTTTACACAAAATACCAGAATTTTAAATTATCTCGCACAAACATTATGTCGCACAAACATTTTCAACGATTTTGGAACATTTTTAAAAGAGTAGTAAAAATACTACCTTTTTTAAAAATGCACTTTTCTTGCAAAAATTATAAAATATTTATGTTCTTTTCTCTATATATTTA